CCTGCCCCCCAAAAGGCAAGCGGTGAGGTGGGGGCTGAAAGTGGGAGAACTGGTGGGGGCAGGGGAACTGGCACCCCTACCTACAACTGAACACTTCATTTGGGAATAGGGCCCAGTCTGATGCAGGCTTGAGGTGTGGAACGTGGTTTTCATGTCCAGTCTGTGAGTGCAATGCAATAACAAAGGAGAGAGAGCTGGTGAACTGTCTGTCCTACAGCCGACCCATACACGGTCTGGGATTAGGTCATACGGGGAGGGGAGGGGAGGGGGAGAGAGCCTCCCCCCCCTCCCCCAAGCTGCATCTTTGGCACCGCGCAGCAGCTCTGTTGCGGCTGATGCCGGCCGCTCCAGGCTTTAAGCACGGCCTTGTTTGTTTCAGATCCACAATGAACTATTGTACACGGCTTCCCACGACGGCACGCTCAGGATCTGGGATGTACGGCCACTCTGCAAGCGGGGCAAGCGGCGCGGGAAGAAGGAGAGGTCCCTCCAGGGCAGGAGCCCCCAGCGGGGAAGCCTCTCCCGCCTCTTCAACAACAAAGTGGGCTGCGTGGTGCACCGAGAAGGTGGCGGGGAGCAGGAGGCCGTGGAGCTCATGTGACAGCAGGCGGCGGGGGGGACCGATGCGGCGGAGAAGCTGCGAATCAGTCATGGGCACACAGGCCCCCTCCCAGGCCAAACGCAGTTCACCTGCTGGGTTGCGGAGGATTTGATCAGCCTGTCTTTTGCTGCTGGAGTAGCACTGTGAAAAGGGGATGGGGAGTCTTCTGGCAGGCACAATGTGTGTGTCGTGTTCCATTTCGTGTGTGTGTGTGTGTGTGTGTATGGGGCCCCTCTTGCTGCTGCCCTGGTGCAGAGCTGACGAGAGGCACTGAGAAAGGGAGGTATACCCTCATAATGGCTTCCTTCCACTCTCCCGTCCGAGGCGGCGTAAGTCTCCTTGGGCCTGTGGAAGGCTGGGTGCCTGGGCAGGCCAGCTCAACCCTCATCTCTTGCCTCCAGGCCTGTCTCTTTGGGGAGAGGCTGCGGCTCAGTGGAAGAGCCTCTGCTTGGCATGGAGGAGGTCCCAGGTTCAGTCCCCGGCATCTCCAGTCAAAAAGGACCAGCTGTAGGTGGTGGGAAAGGCCTCTGCCTGAGTCCCCGGAGAGCCGCTGCCAGTCTGAGTAGACAATACTGACCTTGACGGACCAGAAGTATAAGACTGCTTCGTGTGTATTCTTGTGTGTGTTAGCAGCCCTCCTAGGGTTGCCAGCTCCAGCTGGAGATTTGGGGGTGGAGCTTAGAGAGGTCAGGGTTTGGAGAAGGGAGGGGCCTCGGCAGGGTATGTTTAGATAGCACCCACCCTCCAAAGCAGCCATCTTCTCCAGGGGGGGACTGATCTCTTTTGTCTGGAGAGCTGCCGTCATTCCAGGAGAGCCCCAGGTCCCACCTGGAGGCTGGCAACCCTAAGTCCTCCAGGGCAGCCGTTCATCAGGAACTTTCCCAGGAAGCTAAGTGTTTGGAAGGGGAAGGGGTTGTGGCTCAGTGGAAGAGCCCCAGTCTTGCACGCAGACAGTCCCAAGCTCAATCCCCGGCATCTCCAGCGGAAAAGGGCCAGGCAGGAGGTGACGGGAAAGACCTCTGCCTGAGACCCTGGAGAGCTGCTACCAGTCTGAGCAGACAAGACTGACGTTGATGGATCTGTTAGGGTTAGGTCCGATTCAGTATAGTGGAGCTTTGTATGTGTTCCTGTGTTCCACCTGCCCCCGCGGGATATCCGCTTCCTCCTATGAATCTGCAGTGCTTTCAGGATAGGCAGTATCCAGCCAGTGCAACTGTGACCTGGAGTGGAAAGTGCTGGAGCAGAGGAGATGAGGAGGGGGGTGCCGGCTGAAGGGCATAACAGGATAGTCAGTTTGGTGTAGTGGTTAAGAGCGTGGACTCTAATCTGGAGAGCTGGGTTTGATTCCCCACCCCTTCACATGCAGCCAGCTGGGTGACCTTGGGTCAGTCACAAGTTCCTTCTGGAGCGGTTCTCTCAGGAGCAGTCCTTGAAAGAGCTCTCACAGCCCCACCTACCTCACAGGGTGTCTGTTGTGGGGAGGGGAAGGGAAAGGAGATTGTAAACCGCTCTGAGACTCCTTCGGGTTGTGAAGGGCGAGGCATAAATCCAATCTCCTCCTCCTCCTCCAACCAGTCTGAGAAGCCTTCAGAATCTGCCCTGGTGGTCCTTGATTCCTTGGGAGGGACTGTGGCTCAGTGGCAGAGCACCTGCCTGGCATGCAGAAGGTCCCCGGTTCAATCCCTGCCACCTTCAGTTAAAAAGATCAGGTAGGAGGTGATGTGAAAGACCTGTGCCTTCGACCACAGAGAGCCGCACCAGTCAGAGCAGACAGTACTGATGGACCACGGTCCGATTCAGTATAAGGCAGCTTCCTTTGTGTTCATGCGTGAGTGTTGTCCTGTCGGGAAGGTGTACGTAGTTATAGCCCATCTCTTGAAACGTTGCGAGACGCCCAGGCTTGCAAAAAGATTTACGGCAGCTGTCTGTCCCCATCAGATTTCTCAGTCTTGCAAAGAGAGGGAAAGTATTTTATATCTCGTTTCAGTTTGTGGGCTGCCGCTCAGTCTGGGGCCTGGGATTCTCCCCTTTGTGTCTCTCCTTGCTGCCCAGCAGGGCCTTTTCATGCCTGCTTCCTATGCAGCAGGTAAAGGTGTGGTAACACAAACTGGGGGAGAGCGAGCCTGTCACTTCTGCTAATTCGCCTCACAAAATCCACCAGCAGTTCAGGCCCAATGGCGGCTGCTTTGCAGGTCCACCGTTTTCGGCTTCAGTCTCTCCCAGGGTTAATCACCTTTCCCCTGTGGATGGGCCTGAAAGCAGGGAGGTGTCTTTGAAGCAGGCAGTGGGATTACTGGCAGATTGAGCCCCTTCTCTGGGGGGCCCCGACAAAAGAGAGGCAGCAAAAAGCCTGAGGTGTAAGACAAGTGCCCAGAGCAAATCTCAGATTTTAACCTGGGGAAGGTCATGTCTCTTACCAGGAGGATGAAAAACATCTTCCCAAGTACCTCTGAGCAGGTGGGAATGCTCCCTCTAAGCTGTGGAGCCTTGTGAGCAAAAATTCAACTTTGTGAGCTCCTGGCATGAAAGTGGTGAGTAAGTGATTTGACTACTGCATAAATGAGTTTGCTCTGGAGCCATCCCTTCCTGAGCGAAGGCAAAAATCTGTGAGCTGGAGGCTAAAAAACCCGTGAGCTAGCTCGCACTAACTCAGCTTAGAGGGAACGCTAGTCTTAACTGCCACACCTTGACTGTTGCGGGACAGTAGAAAAGAGCCAAGAGTCCAGTAGCACCTTAAAGACTTTACAAAAAAAATGAGGCAGGCTATGAGGTTTCGTGGGCAACGCTCCCTCTAAGCTGTGGAGTCTTGTGAGCAAAAATTCTACTTTGTGAGCTACTGGCATTAAAGTTGTGAGTGAGCAATTTGGTGTTTGGTGTGATGTTTGCTCTGGAGCCATCCCTTCCTGAGAGAGGACAAAAATGTGTGAGCCGAAGGCTAAAAAACTCTGAGCTAGCTCGCACTAACTCAGCTTAGAGGGAGCGATGGTGGGAAGTTTTTCGATGTACCTCTACTATACACCTTTGGTCCTGACCCGGGTAGCCCAGGCTGACCTGATCTCATCAAATCTCAGAAGCTAAGCAGGGCCAGCCCTGATCAGTACTTGGATGGGAAACCACCAATCCAGGGTTGCTAACCCTGAACCTCTTTGGCCTTGAGAACTCTGTGGGGTCACCATAAATCGGCTGCAACCTGACGGTACTTTGCACCATCACTACTCATGTCTGGGATTCAGGCCAGAACTTCAGGTGAGAAGGTGTGGTTGCTGCACAGGCCTATCAATTCAGGGCCAGATCACGTGTGAAGCTACAGTTCTGTGACCAGAACTCGGGCATGCAACGGTGGCCCTGAAAAGCAATTGTGGGGAAGGGAAGCCTGGATCGGGGCCATGCAATGAGGGAAATGGGCTTCCTTGCCCCACCAACAGTTTCTGTGGTCGCCCACGCAGCCACTTTAGCATTGGAAGGGGGGGGGGAACCACAGGCACAAATATGGGGGGAAAGACAGGCACAAGTATGGGTGCCTGTCTTTTTCCTGCTGGATTTGAAGCCGTGCAGGAAAAACCATTGTACGTATGTACCTGCTTCCACCCAGAGATTTTGTTTCTAACCTGGAGTGGGTTATTTTTTGGGGGGGGACAGGGAACGTCAACACAACATTGTCTCCTCATCATCTGCCTCACGTCTGTCCTGTTGCTGTGCTGTGATGTTTCCTAAACCAGGTTTGGCGTGATGTTTTTGGGCAAGAGAGCAGTCTTGCCTTGTACATTGTGCAGTTGGGAAAGTGTGCTTTCCTACAAGTCCTCAGTAATTGCTGAGTCATGATAGTGTTAGGCTGTCGCCATAAGTGGTCTACTTTTTAAAAGAACCCTTGGGTTGTGTGTGTGTGTGGGAATAATGGCCATGGGGGGCTGGGGCTAAGAGGGCAAGGAAAACTTCTGCAGCAGCTTAAGGAACACGAAACCTCATCGCTATGTGGATACAGCCTGGGTGGGAGAAGATTAAGACACAATGAGGCATCAATGTCAGGCGTAGGAGTCCCAAGTGTTCACCCCATTTCCCTAGTACTATTGTCTCAATCCAGGTTCCTCCAGTCTGGTGCAGTGGTTAAGAGCGCGGACTCTAATCTGGAAGAACCGGGTTTGATTCCCCACTTCTCCACGTGCAGCTGCTGGTGTGACCTTGGGTCAGTCACAAGGTCTCTCAGAGCTGTTCTGGAAAGAGCAGTTCTGGAAAGCGCTCTCTAAGCCCCACCTACCCTCAGGGTGTCTGTTGTGAGTAGGGGAAGGGAAAGGAGATTGTAAGCCTCCTTCGGGTAGTGAAGGTTGGGGTATCTCCCCGTCCTCTTCTTCCCCTCCCCACTCCTCTCAATTGGCTTGGAGGGACCAAAGTTCACTTCTGGAGTTCCAACTGGGCAATTACGGCATCAGGGGGAGTTTAGCTGTGAGCGCTGCCTCTGTGCCCAGACAAGTTGGTGCTGCCCTCTCAGCAAACTAGCCTGATTGCCCTCAACCTTCTTAGCTCTTTGCTGATCCCATGAGTGCAGGTGAGCGCTCTCTAGTGCCATGGAAACGCCCCAGCACCAAACCCTGCTGCGTGACACAGCCGTCCCACGACTCCAGCTGCTCTTGCAGGATAACTGGCAGTGTTCCCTCTAAGCTGAGTTAGTGTGAGCTAGCTCACAGTTTTTTAGCCTCTGGCTCACACATTTTTTTCTTCGCTCAGGAAGGAGGGCTCCAGAGCAAACTAATCTATGCAGGAGCCAAACCACTTGCTCACAATTTTAATGCCAGGAGCTCACAAAAGAGAATTTTTGCTCACAAGACTCCACAGCTTAGAGGGAACATTCTGGGAGGCACCTAGCCAAAGTCCTATCAGGATGGAATTGGAAGGTTTGGAGGAACTGGGGGTGGGGGGTGGGAAATACTGTGGCTCATCTCCATGGGGTTGGTGGCATAGGATCTGGAACAGCAGGCATTTGGGCAGGCTCTTCGGGGAGGGCA